GCACGCACACACACGCACACCCATAGGGCCTGAAAGACGCACTAACACAAGCACAAAAACACCACGTATTAGACATAATCCCACAATAAAAACAGGCCTCTACGCAAAAGAAACCACCCCCCCCCCCAAAAATAAAAAAAAACTTGCATACGGCCCAATAAAGAAACAAGAAATGAGAACCCGTCACCTACAAAATAAACCACAAGTAAGGACACTGGCACTAAAGCTGAAACATACACCAGTACACCCCCGCACAAAAAACGAAACATAGGAACCCATATACGACAAAATCTTCCGAAAAAAACAAACTACTAGCACGAGCACATACTAACGGTAGACTTAAAAAACAACAGACGACGCCATGACTTGAACTAAAAACAAAAAGACAACCCGCCAAAACGTTATAAAATCATAGACCGTCTAATATAATAAAATAAAACGATCAAAGACACAAACAGACAAAAAAAGAATTCCCGCCTAGCCAACGGTACGCAGACCATCTGCTACAGACCCCATATCTGAGCTATAATCACAAAAATACACACACTAACCCCAACCCTTCCGGCCAAAGCATGTGCCTAGCGCACCAAACACGCGACCTATAGCACAAAAAAACCCACCCAGAACCAAAAAATATTAAAAATAATTATGCACGAACGATAAAAACGCGTAGAACACCACACACAACCAACACTACCCCGTCACCTACAAAAATAACCACAAGTAAGCACACCTGCACTAAAAGGTGAATCATACATCAGTACCCCCCCGCACAAAAGCGAAACATAGAAACTCATATACGACAAAAGCTTCCAAAAAAAACAAACTACTAGCACGAGCACACTCTAACGGTAGACTTGAAAAACAACAGACGACGCCATGACCTGAACTAAGAACAAAAAAGACAACCCGACAAAACGTTATAAAATCGTAGACCGTCTGTAATATTATAATATAATAAAATAAAACGATCAAGAACACAAACAGACAAAAAAGAATTCCCGCCTAGCCAAAGGTACGCAGACCATCTGCTACAGACCCCATATCTGAGCTATAATCACAAAAGTACACACACTAACCCCAACCCCCCCGGCCAGAACAAATGCCTAGCGCACCACACACGCGACCAATAGCACAAAAACACCCCCCAGACACAAAAAAATATCAAAAATAATTATGCACAAACAATAAAAAAATGTAGAACACCACGGATAACCAACACCACCCCACAAACCAACACAAACACACACCGCCTGCATTTATACGTGGTGAGAGCACAAAATCCCTCCTCAGTCGTACGGCGTGTCTATGCCTTGACCAGCGCTCACGGAACCAGCAAGGTTGCAAGATTCTGGTACCTCGCTCTGAGATAGCTGCGGCAGACCTATCCCAAGCTCCTTCCTCGCACCGCATTCATCACTACTACCAAGCAAGGCAAACCCCCGGGCACACGACGTGTCCAAGGTAGAGCCTTGGCTTGGCGCTGCGCTCCGAGCCCGCAGTTAGATATTAACTGCAGGTTAGCGAACCAACCCAACCTTTTTTGACAATGCCAGCAATCCCCTCAGACGGACATGTCACTGACGCAGACATCAACGCACATGCGGTAACCATCGCTCACCTTCCTCCAACCCCCATAACCCGCGGATGCCTTACCCTGCAACCCCCTTGACCCTGCATTATAGTACATTCTTCTAAAAATATCCCAACACCCTCATCTACTTCCCACACTGCCATCCTACTGCACCTTGCCCTATCTCTTCTGTCTTAACGCTACCTAAGTCGCCCCTACTCATGCTGGTAATTGGTCCAGCAGATGTAGAAGGCCACCTAGATGCACAATGGATCCCTTCCCTCCCTCTCTAAACTCTCGCCTCTGAATCTCGCATAGGCTACTAGAGTCGCCCCTACTCAACCGGTAATAGGTCCAAGTGATGTAGAAGGCAACGCTAGGATTATAGCCGATCATCCCCTCTGATGAGCCGTTTGGCGCAAATGGCGAAAAGCGCTTAAGGGATGCGCCACCCTCCTTCTTCGAATCTGGAAATCGGTCCTGTCGAAGAAGTGTCATCTTCTCCTAACCCCTTCTTCTCTTCTTGCCCCCACCGTTTTCTCCCTTCCCCTTCCCCCCTTTTTCACCCCACATGTATGCTTAGTGGTAAATGGCAATGTGAAAATAGGAAATGGCTGGGTATGGCTGTAGGTGTACGAAGGTGACCCATGCAATGAAATAGCAGGGAACTTTGCTCAATCGTGACAATGGTATGCTATTATGTTCAATACTGTTCCTGGCTAAGCCAGGTTGTTAAATTGCTTTGCAATTTGTCACACGAAACACACACTGGCTTTTGAGCCCTGATACAATGGTGTGGGTAGACTCCCCACCTGACAGTATAAGTATAATAGCGTTGCACCTGACACGACATGCTTGGAACTGCTAACTTGTCATGAATGATCCTGTGATACACGGTCGAAATGCTTACACAATCCACTATAATCACCCGCCTATCCACAACATACTCCTTTCAGCCCATCCTCCACCCCACTCAACCATAGCCCTGAAATTATATTTCCTTACCTTGACACCTATAAACCCACACCTACCTTTAGACTTGTAATCCTGATTAAACACCCTCGACCTGCTACGATGCACTCCTATCAATATCCCCACGACCCCCCCTCCGCCATAATTAACCATAACCTCGGATTTCCCAGACACCTATAAACTCACACCACCCGCAAATTCCTCTGTCCTAAAATAACTCACCTAACACGAACGCACCCATAGCAACCTCCCCACCACCATCCCTGCCTCCGCCCCGGGCGAATATAACCCCTTATCCACACCCATGTACCCAGACACCTATAATTTTACACCAAGCACTTAGTCATTAAATCCTAAATAAATACAACATATAATCTCACACCAACGATAGTACAGTTGTCCCACCTACTTCCGACAATCTCTCCACATACCCTTGACTAACCGGAACTATTGTAAGAAGTAGGATAACAGCTTGCGATACAATATTAAATATTCTCCCTTCCTTGTTCGATAGCTCACTTGCGATAGACCAATGATAGTAGATCATATATTTAGACGAATACGAGGAGGTAAATGCACAAGACAACGTTGGCACGTATGACAACATAAGTGCAATTATTGTAAGCATAATTATTCGCTCTTCCTTTATTATTAAAAAGTAATACGTGTACAGTTATGTATTAAACAGCCAAACAAACAGGGGTTGTCAATTAAAAAAGTTTTTTTACTTTGTCGTAAAAACGCTAAGCGTTTGTAAAAACTTGTTGAGTGTATGCCAATATATTTGAATTGTTGGAGCGTCGGTACCAAGCCAGTTTTTTATGAACTTGTGTCTTGCCAAATATGATACATAACTGGTAAACTTGTCACCCATTCACACTTCATTATCGGTTAGTAGTACATATATCCGATGCTGCCCTTGCGTACGACATCAATTTTTGGAGCATGCATGAAAGACACCTGGAATGACGAACTCATGTTGGGGACCATAGTCTGTCGGTATGTTTATTAGTATCTATTAAAATTTACTATTAATTATATACTTATTTAATATTTATTATTTATTCCCGCAGACTATCCTAATAATTGGCAAATACTTATCGTTGCAAAATTCGTAGAAATAGTGTGTGTCATTTGTTGAACGGAGGGAAACCATCGCGAACCTACATCTGGTTTTTTCTACGAAATGTGAGTACTCACTTAGTTATTCTAAGTAGCACCTATTGCCTAGATGAGTCGTGCTTCGGAAAATAGAAGTGCATGTGAAGAACTACGTTCGACGCAGGGACATCACGTAATTAACAAGAGGAAAAACATAACTTAAAGCGCCGTATTTTATTGATTCCATAGAAAAAATACATGAATTACACAAGCACTAGCATCTTGCGTGCGCCTTACTATGCCATTGATAATAAGTATTGTGATCACACACATATAGAACACAAAATTCGCGAAACTACTATCACATTCAAACGTCAACCTTCCTGAAAACACGACACAAACTTGTCAGCATGTACAAACATACACGAGTTCGTCTCCAACAACAAAGTCTGGATTCATAACGCCGCATACACCAAAAAACAATCGAGTGGCATGATAGCTACGAACGCTCCTTATAAGAGACACGCGTAAAAGAGAAGGTAAGTAAACAAACGACTCACACACCACCTCTTCAAAAAACTTCTTACGAACTCGCAAAACCCGTTGGTGACAAACCCATGAGCGCTAAAACGATCACACAACCAATCAGCTAAAGATTCTCGTCGCAAACACTGCGTAAGATATAACAACCCAACAATGACACTACTGCCAATAAAAGGCAAGTCCGTCACCATAACGCCATAGATGCTACTCGACCATGTAGACCATCGATAACACTGGATTATGTACCCCGACTTACAATTAAACGTCGCCATGCATATAGGCATGACCTGCCAATGACACGTCCATAATTACTTTCCATTCCACTACTGAAGATAGGTAATCACCATGTTTTTAGGGTATTGCCGTAGTAACCAGATGCACTTGACGATGCCCTAGCCTACACCAACGTGATGATCTGGAACATTATTGTGCACCTTCGTCACATACACCATAGATGCTACTTGACCATGTAGACCACCTATAGCACTAGATTATGCACCTTTGTCTACAATGGAAGGTCGCCACACATATAGCCATTGCCTTCCAATGACGCATCCAAAATTGCTTCCCATTCCACTATTGAAGATAGGTAATCACCATGTTCTGAGAGTATTGTCGTAGTAACCAGACGCACCATACACTCGACGATGTCCACGCCGGCACCAACGTGGCGATCTGGAACATTATTGTGCACCTTCGTCACGTACACAATGACGTCACGCAAATACTCCCCGTCATAGCCCAACCCAACCACTAGATGCAAGGACAACTCCCCCCGCGCATCGATCTCGTAATGACGAATCTCGTGCCATGAAACTGCTCCTGTGAACGTAAACTCACGACCCATGCGGAAGTCTCGAAGATCACGCATCTCGAAAGCCATGACTACGCGACCACCAACATGGCCCCCCGCAACTAGAGAAACCGCCATAGCGAACAAAAACCCGAACAAAGCTACACAGGAAAATAAGCACGTAACAGCAACGATCCCACGATCTCCCTCGACACACTCCAGCTAATGCAGAAATGCCAAAGCACTGCCACCCTGGTACCCGTAGCCTACGCTATAAGGATCACCTACTTATATAGTAGAACGCTACATAACAAACGGAAAGATGATGACAATGGTTAAATTAAGATAATAACAGATGCGTCCCCACCTAACCAAGATCTGGACGTGACAACTGCCAAGTCAGAATTACAAACGACACATTTCAAAAGGTATAAAAACATACCTTCACTACCCACGAGACACAAACGCGCAAAGTGATGCAACCATCCACGTAAATAATAAATGCCCGACTGTCGGTTGAATCCTTTACAAAAAGCAAAACCAGAACCCCCCCCCAGAAAGAACCCATTCAACCAAAAATCATAGAGCACTCACCCACTCTTTCGAAATGATGATAAGTAAAACAGATCCATACAACCCCCACACCCCACCCACACAACCAAAAAAAGCCAACACTACTTAATAAAGACACACCCAACCCTCCATCGGGACCCCTCAAAAAAAAAGAACTAATACACAAAGGACAGGTAGACGCAAGTAAAAGATAAACCAGACACGGCTGCCCGAAGAGACGTGACCCTCCATAAAAATAACATTTTCAAATAAACCGACCGTCACTGATCTATACCCGGGTCAAAATTATAATAAACAAAACAGATCCATACAAGCCTCACCCTCACACAAAAACAGATACTGCTTAATCAACAGACACCCAACCCCATATATGTACCCCCGAAGATAACAGACACACAAAGGACAGGTGGCCGCATTTAGACAAAAAGAGAAAACTTAACTTAATTTATTTCTTCAATTGTTCCCCTTTTTCCCCTAGCCTCTCCTAATACACTGATACGATACAAGAGAGAATGAGGATTCCCCGATTAAAATACTTGGATATCGTTGCTCTGGGAAACAACGAAAAAATCCCCCCTGGGTTGTCCTGCCCATGGCATAATAAAAACCTCCTTAAAACCCTCCTAAGCCGCTAATTATATATAACCAGACTCCCGACTTGAAAATAACAAAGCAAACAAACTGTGATTCCCCCGGATCCTTGTAGGGCGTAATTGAGAAGTATAAAGAAACCAGACGGAAACTGTGGCCCCACATAATGGTGAGTCTTTCTTCTTTTTGTTAAAAAAAAATTCCAAAAAAAAACCCCTACAACATAGGCCAACACTCCTAGCTACTAATACTCGCAAGGCATAGCTAACCACAGCTAACCATACAACTGCGCCTATGTTGACATGTGCAGGATCAAAAGATCATCAACCGCGAGTGGCATGCGGATCAGGCACTCATGATTGCGTCATTCGCCAGCCTGCAACCATCGATTGTCCACGCGCGACTGATTATGATGACACTCCCATAAGACATCGTTCATCGATTCCACGCAGCAGCACAACCAACCAGCCTGATTGAGACACTCACTTTCAGTGACTGGGATGTCATCAGCGCTAAGTATGAAACAGAGCCAGAGAAGATGCACCGACTCATTCAAGCATATGCGCTCAATGTGGCCGTTGTGCTCAGCATGAATAGGATACAGAATAGAGAGCTTAGCAGAGTCATTGCCAAAGGAGAGAAGGCAATGTTGGATAAGTTTGGTTACTGCTCAGATCACCTGAATGATGTTGGAGCCATTGATATTTCAACTGAGGTGAATGTCAGGAGACAGACACTTTGACAACGAATTGGATTGACACAGGCTGAGATAGACTATCTGGAGAAACAGCACGAGAGAAGACTGAACTCTGTGACTGCCAATGCCTCCACCACGATAAATCCTGCAGGCAAAGCCCACAAGTTCGCACAAGATAGCCATTTTCTACCGATTGCCTCCGATACCTGGGTAGAAATGAACAGCAAGCACGTTGCACAAAAGCTATGGCACCTAGATTCCTTCAACTACACCGCACCCATCTCGATTGAAGGATATAGGGCACTGGCCAATCTGTCTGATGCTGATATTGAGGCATGCAAACATGCAGCACATAACTTCTCACTGCATTATCCAACCAACAGACCTCCCTTTGATGGAGATTTCCCCATACTAGCCATTCTAGACAGAACAAAGTGCGCGGTCTCCAAGCCTATCCTTACGCAGAAAGGCTTCGCCAGGATCCCGCAGACATTAGAGGAGGTCAAGAAAATGTGGAACATCGGCCGACCATATCTCAAGTGCACCTGTGAGAAGAACTGTGGCAAGACCATCACTTGGTTTGACCACATGATATGGTGCTACATCGCCAATTTAGACTTCTTCGACCCGGTGGCACCAAACAGATGTTACGCGGATGCTTGATTTCCAACAGAAACTGGAGACGGAATTGAAGGGACCTGTCCTGGCACAGGTCACCTTCCTGCACATGAGGCAGATCATGAGAGATCTGCTCGACAGAGTCATCGATGACAACATGACCACCGTCGAAGGACTTATCGACCATCCAGCTTTGAAGAATGTGCCATTTGCGAACAGATTCGCGGGCATCATGTTCCCCGGCGCCCCTGTCAAGACACCGGCAATGGCGGGAGGCAGCTGAAGAGGCGCCATGGCAGCAGAACCAGACATCGCACACAGGAGCAGATCAAGACAGACACCGCTGCCGCTTACACCAGTCACAGGCAACAACGCCTCGACCACACCCGCCACAAATGCTGCACAGGCCTCAACCTCGAGAACTCCTCCTACAACCACGACATCAGCCCAAAACAGCCTGCCACACAGCCACGCGGCTACTCCACAACGAGCACCGGCCACACAGGCTACAGCACGCCCCCTTATAGCAATTGCGACCCACGCACCTGCACATCCCCCCACCGTGCAAAACCACCCCCTGCAGCACCTGCCAATCCACGACCACAGCGCAACACCTAACCCCCAACCAAACCACACCACGCATCAACATAGCGACCCGAACACACGCCCACAGAAAAAAGCAAGAAGAAATAACGGACCACGCAGAACCAATCGCAATGCAGCACGACGAGCAAACACGAGATCACGGAAGAACAATAACCAGGAAAACACCAGCCAGCACATGCAAGCCCAGCAATTCATCACCAACGTCCTGGCTCCCGTGCACGGCAACCCCACAGTACCACCACTCCTCCCGCTACCAAACACACTGCCAAACACACGACTCCCCACAACTCTCTCATCGCCCCGTACAGCACTGCAGATTGGCTCAACAATCAGGCTCGTAGGCAGTCTCAGCTGGTTGCCCACACGCAGCCAGATTGTCAGACAACAGACACAAGAGGTAAATACACGACCACCACCAGCCCAGGTCATCAATGTCCCAGACCAAGACATAGAAGATGGCGCCGGACGACAGACTGCTATCAACGTCGGATCACCGTCTCCGGATACGCCAGTCAGAGCAATCAGCACATTTGGCCACATCTTCAAGAACTTCGATATTGAAGATTCCCTCGCTAGGTCTGGTACTGAAACTACCAGTGAAGTCAACACAGGCAACAACGAAGGCTGCGCTCATATCAAGTCCATCAGAGGGGACCTGCGCAATGACTACGATAGCGGTAGATTAGCACTCTCCCACCTCTAGACTACATGCTGCAATTGATAGTTGGCAACCGTAACTAGAAGGCTCAGGTACTCAATCGGTGACCCTATAAGGCAGACTAGTTATAGCACCCCCGTTTTTTTCTACAGACTATTGAGGTTCTCGAGTAAATAGCCTGGGTCCTCGGTCGAAGACCCACTCAGATGGTTCGAATGTAGCACCTTTTTTTTTATAAGTTACCTAGTTGATTACGAAAGCCTGTGTACTCGACAGACAACGCAGGAAGGCATGCCAAGCGCAGAGCCTTCAATGCCTTGGTCATACAAATCTTATTTATATTGAATTTAAATTTGGTTCCCCCTGTGTTTTAAAAAAAAAAAAGAATAACTCACTGATACAAAAGTACCACTGTCTCGGCATGCCTAGCTTACTACTCCATACCCTGTACTCACTTCCAGTCCTAAAACCCAAATAAGATCCCCCCAACGCCATGCAAACTATAACCTTTTTTAGAGTACCCCCAAGAAAGACATACCAACCAGCGTCTAAGCTTACCCTTCCTTCATAACTCCACCACAAATTACAAATAAATATAATCACAAAGGCAAAACCCAGACATAAAACCTCAACCTGAGAATAAAAAATTACTATAGATGCCAACATAAGCCTACAACTTTTTTGCAATCAGCAGAGAAATACACTCGTAAAAACAATAAAAAGTGGTATACTCACCAAAAATTGTAATTGTCAGTGTTACCTAAGCAGGTCAACAACTTACAAGTCATGGAAGATGGACGAAGGGGCTGGAGGAAAGTTGCAGAACCACGCAAGAAGATCGTCCACCTACACTACGCAAACAAACTTATGGAAAGAATAAAGACCAAAAATTTGTTCACTAACATACTCCACGAACACAACCCACAGGCAGTAGAAAGACTACAAAATATTACCTTTGGATTGACATATGACAACCACCTGGCCAAACAGTTGTACAAACCCGCGGCTGTATTCAAGAATTTCGAACTCACTCAATGGTACACACAACAAGACCAAACATGCTTCTGCCAACATCATAGATACGGGCATTTCATCCAAAGTTGCGGAGATGACGCAATCCAACCACACGTCATCACCCTAGATGCCAACATAATACGAAACCTAGAGTTGAGAAGTCAGGTCAAAAAAGGACTCAACCATATCCCACTCAAACCATACAACCAAAATGAGATACGGAAGGAATACAAGAAGGCCCTACACAAAACAGTCTAAATAATCAATAGGGAAAGCATGATCATATCTGATGAACAACTGACAGCGACACAACAACGACTCACACATATCATAAACAATAACTGCGCAAGTTTTCATAGACCAACCACATTTGATCTGGAAAAAACAAGCACTAAAAATGAAATTGAATTCCTGACACAACACTTCTACACATCAGGCGCTGACAAGGCATCAAACACCCCAATTTTCACTTGTATTAATCT